TTTGAGCATTCTCAAAGTCAGGTCTATTAATTATGATATTTTGCCTCATTAGATGTTTGGCAGTTTGGTTATTTTCTGTGTATAGTTCAAACTTAATGGAATTCAAGGGCAGTAGTGACCTCTACAACAGGACTTTTTTTCCTGCCAGATAAAATACACACACAAACTTAAAAAAACTCAGTAAGTTGTATACAGAAAAACAGGACTTATAATAAATATTTATGATGCCAGGATTTTGCTTAAAGGTTAATGATCGCATTTTATCTTATATTTGCTGTTATGCAATTGAGACAGCTTTTTTTTTAAATGAAACTAGTTTGAAATGTTAGAGAATATAATGGCAGTTAGTTGTCATTGTTAGTGAAGCAACTAATATACGAGCCAAGGAAGTAGCATTAATATGAAATGATCATTTTAAAGAAGGGATCAATGACCTTGTAGTGCATGTAACTCCCTGCTTTGTATCCCAGTGTGTATGTGAGCGTGTATGTGTGTGTGTGTGTGTGTGTGTGCTCCATCACATGGTTCACTGTTTCGAATCCCTTTAGAAATCTATACAATTGACAGTTTAATTTTTAGCTTTTGTCTTCTTTTCTTTACTAAGAGCGTTTCTCCTGGCCTTCCACATTAATCATTCTTCTTTTAATCCCATATGCCATTCATGCATTCCTCTCAACTGTGAAGACAGCAGCACTTAAATGCTATCATTTATCTTCATCATGTTTTCCTTTCAGCTCTTTATTCCCTCACCTGAGGGGACTGACCCCTGGGTACAGTGCACTGGGCATTGCCGTGGGGAGATGCCTTTACCACCCAGTTCTATCCACCAGCATGTGACACTGCTCATTGGGGTGATGAGCTTCACCCAGTGGCTCCCCTAGGTGATCTCTGAGGACCAGAGTAAGATGGCCTGGTGCACTGGTGTGGGAGCCATCTATGACCCATGTACTCTTTCTGTCCTCATCAAAGCAAAGGCTGCAGGGGCTGGCCCTGTGGCTTAGTGGTTAAGCGCGTGCGCTCCACTACTGGCGGCCCGGGTTGGGATCCCGGGCTTGCACTGACGCACCGCTTCTCCGGCCATGCTGCGGCCACATCCCACATACAGCAACTAGAAGGATGTGCAACTATGACATACAACTATCTACTGGGGCTTTGGGGGAAAAAAAAAAAGAGGAGGATTGGCAATAGATGTTAGCTCAGAGCTGGTCTTCCTCAGCAAAAAAAAAAAAAAAGAGGATGCCTGCCACCACGTTTAGCATTTTACATTTCTTACTTTAGTTCCTTGTCACAGAAACCCTCTAAGGTCAGTTTATTATCCTATTTTATACTTGAGGCTTAGGGACGTTAAGCAAATGGCCAACTTTTACTCAAAATAAAAGGCAAAGTCTTCACCAAGTCTTACTAGGTACTATGTGATCTCCTTCCCCCCAACCTCTTTGACCTCCTCTCCTCCTCTTGCTCCCTCACTTGGCTCCAGACACACTGACCTCATGGCTCCTCCAGCTCTCCAGCCACTCTCTTGCCTCAGGGCCTTTGCACTGGCTGTTCCCTCTATCTGAACAGCTCTCAGTTCTCAAGGCTGCTCCCAAGCCTCCTCTGAGTCTTTGCTCAAATGTCATCTTCTCACGAGGACTTCTCTGAGCAAGTCTTAACAGTGCAAGGTCTCCACTCCTTGGCACATTGGTTCCTCCTCCTCTGCTTTATTTTTCCCGCAAATGTCTATCATCTTCTAATATATTGTGAGAAAAAAGTTATTTATTTATTACATTTATTTTCTATCTTCCCCCATGAGAATGTAAACCCTGTGAGGTCAGATTCCTAGGCCCCATCCCAGATCTTGAGAACATAAGTCCAAGGGGAGCCTTATGTATTCCCACTATAGTGTTTTTAGAGCAACGAAATAACTTTAAGTCAGCTTTAAAAGGGGGGAAAAGTCTCTGTTGATCCAAGAGGTAAGGCAGAACCAGCAGAATCTGCAGCCTTTTTTTTTTTTTGTGAGGAAGATCAGCCCTGAGCTAACATCCGTGCCAATCCTCCTCTTTTTTTTGCTGAGGAAGACTGGCTCTGAGCTAACATCCATGCCCATCTTCCTCTACTTTATGTGGGACGCCGCCACAGCATGGCCCAACAAGCAGTGCGTCATGCGCGCCCAGGATCCGAACCCGGGCTGCCAGCAGCGGAGCGCGGGCGGTTAACCGCTACGCCACGAGGCCGGCCCGGTTCTGGCTTTCTTTTGTCGTGGCTGTGATGGGTCACTCTACCCCCTGCCCTTCTGTTTCCCAACAGTGATCCAGGTTCAGGAATATCCTTCTCTGTTTCAGGGTTGTCGTGAGCACAAATGAGATACTGTATGGCAATGTTCTTTGAAAACTCCCGGTGGCCGTCTAAGGGGAGCGGTAGATATGGTGTCGGGCAGCCGTTGCTGTGTGACGGGGGGTGCCTGTGCTTTGAATTCTTTCTCTGGAGGGGGTGTTGATTTATGCACCTTAGTGCCTCTCCGAGGACTGGCTGTTGCAAGCAGTGGGCTGTAGCGATGGAGTGGAAGCCCCCCGGGCCTCTCTGGCCATCAGATAGGTAGTCTTTGCCTTAGTAATGTCATTCTCTAAGTTGCACAATGGAGGCTTGGACTTCTAGAGGTAATTTTTGTAATGATCTCTTCAATATATTTAGATGATTTAAGTGTATTTCTATGTTTTTAGGCATGTGTTAAAAGTCTTAATTTGTGACTAGGTCAATCTCAAACGTTTTATTTTTTTTTTAATAAATATTTATTGAGCATCACAATTATCCCCCTAGTCCAAGCTACCTTCATCTTTTTTTTTTTTTTTTTTGGTGAAGAAGATTCACCCTGAGCTAACATCTCTTGCCAATCTTCCTCTTTTTGCTTGAGGAAGATTCACCCTGAGCTGACATCTGTGCTCATCTTCCTCTATTATGTATGTGGGTCGCTGCCACAGCATGGCTGACGAGTGGTGTAGGTCCATGCCCAGGATCCAAACCTGCGAACCTGGGCCGCTGAAGTGGAGTGCACACACTTAACCACTATGCCACCAGGCTGGACCCTCAAATCTTGTTTTAAAAGTTGATTTCAGAAACATGGCTTACCTGTCCCCTTTATCCTAGCTAATTAAATTCTTTCTCCTTCCGGTCCCAGTCAAATAATTCTTGAGGTGATACCCACTCGGTGAAGCCTTCCTGAAAATAAATCAGCAATGAGATAAGATAATAGCAGGACTAAAGGAGCAGTTCACATCTGTCCTTCATCGTGTGTTGCTTTCCAAATATCGATTGATCTGTCTTTATTTTTTCCATACTTTTAAAGAAGCCCCACCATGTTTTCTGTGCTCCTTGACATGCTGGGAACAGAGCCTTGAACATGGCAAATAAAGTCCCTGCCCTCATGGAGCTCACATGTTTGTGGGAGAGAATAAAAGGGACTATTTTAGATCTTGTAGTGAGGGAAGGCTTCTCTGTGGAGGTGACATTTGAATAGAGAACTTTGTGAAATGAGGTAGCGAGCCATGCAAAGTCTGAGAGAAAAACATTCCAGGGAGAGGGCCTAGCAGGTGCAAAGGCCCTGAGGCGGGAAGGACCTTGGCATGGTCCGGGGACGGAAAGAAGGTGAGGAGGGGAGAGTGCAAGGGAGGAGGAACATGTGTGGAAAGAGGGGGACTTCAGGGGTAGGAGGGCTTTGTCTGCCATGGAAGGAGTTTGGGTTTTACTTTGAGTTGATAAAGATTGTAAGTATTTTAAATTATTTACAGTTTAAATATTCTCTTCAGATACCAATCCATCTACTTTTATCTGAGATTCTGTGAAGGAATTGCCAAGTGATAGCATAGAATTAACAATGTGGTATTTTTGGAGCTTCATTTTATTCAAACCCAAATCCCTTAATATTCCTTAAGGAGTTTGTTGGAAATTGTTTGATGAGGATAATTAACAGAATGAGTAGCTGTTTTTCCATGCAAAATTCTATTCATGTGTGAGCTCATTTCAACAAGAGAAATTGAGGGTCTCATTTCTCTGTAGCCTGTTCTTAACTGAATTCTATTTTATGACCAGCCCTGAGAAGCCAGAGGTACATCAGATAGAAGTCTAATTTTCTGTTCTCACAGAAGCAAATGATAATTGAATAAGAACTGAGAACATGCTGGAACCTTCTAGGTGTTTCCAAAGAAGCATTGTTTCATTGTTTCATTTCACATTGTTTTGTAACCTCTCCCAGTAATAACAAATGGCAATTCGGAGGTCAGCAGAGGACTCAGAGATAAACGCTTTACTTAAAACATGAACACAATTTCAAGATATGCAACTGAATTTTTATCTTCCATATCCAGCAGGGTCACATTTCTCTGTAATCACCCTCCAAAATAATGAAGTAGAAACTTTCATTAAATTCTGCTTAATATAAGTCGCCACCACGCTCTCAGTTGTCATGCAAGCCGATCATTTTGGAAGCCTTTGATTAAATAACATCACCTTAAAAAGGGTTGTTTATCAGGTAGGAAATTGGGAGACATAGGTGAGCGCGTCTGTAGTGAGATAAACTGGGCAGTTGTATCTCATGAGGAAGCCTTGCAATGGTCCAGGATGTGAAAAAGGAGATTCCAATTTAGATCTCTAGTATTGTTTGTCATGACTGGCAGCTAAAAATATCAAAGTTGGTATCTTCCTAATGAGTCTCAATTTTAACTATTTTAGAAAATTCCTCTACATACTATGTTCCTGTAATAAACATTGTTTAGGGCCTTGGGTTTGGGGAGGCTCTTCTCCACCACGTACTTCCTTCTTGGACGCCTGTTGTCTGTGGGAAGGCTGATGTTGGGATGACCTTGCTAGGCTCCCTACGAGAGCACAAGTGGTTAAGAACGTGTACTCCGTTAGAGCCGCAGCTCTGAGACACGGAGCTGATTTCCCAGTGATGGCACCACTTTTCTTATGAGGGAATAATTGACCCCGGAATAATTGACCCGTTTATGGTCTTGTTTCAGCTTCGTGTGGATCCTTGCGCCAGCAACCCTTGTCACCATGGCAACTGCAGCAGCAGCAGCAGCAGTGATGGCTACCTCTGCATTTGCAATGAAGGCTATGAAGGTCCAAACTGTGAACAGGCACTTCCCATCCTCCCAGCCTCTGGCTGGACCGAGTCCATGGCACCCAGACAGCTTCAGCCTGTCCCCGCTACCCAGGAGCCTGACATAATCCTGCCCCGCTCTCAGGCAACCGTGACCCTGCCGACATGGCAGCCGAAAACAGGGCAGAAAGTTGTAGAAATGAAATGGGATCAAGTGGAGGTGAGAACGTTTTATTGCATATATTTGAATGTAAGAAGCTGGAAAAGTTAAAATAATTCCAGTGGCTGTAATATCAGCAATAAAAATGGAGACCTTGGTTGCCCATTGAACAAAACAATGTGTCCAATCTTATTCCTCTCTGCACTTGTGTGTGGAAAAGGTCTCCTGGTTACACAAATGAGCCCATTCAATTATGATTGTTTTGTGAGTATAAAAGTGTAAGCAAGAAAAGAATGTGAATGAAATTATTTTCTGGAGTGACATACACATACATTTTTGTGAGATAATCAGATTTTGGGGTAGACCGCTCAATGAAGAGTCATATAAGGGAACATATCACAGACTCTCCCTTGTTGACCTAATTTTCCTTCGTGGAATATTATGCTCACCTTTTTGTTTGTTTGTTACTGTTTAGGTTCCATTTTTGGTACCTTTTGGCACTTCAGTGGGATTTAGAAAAAAAAGCTATCATTGATTTTGAAAATATTTTGAGAATGCATTTGAGAATGAAATTTCCAAATTTTATTTATTTTGGCTATAGCGGATTCTATTTATTGAATCTTGTCCAGCCTGGGTTTGGCTTATTGTATTTTCAAGCTCATCAAAAGTCTCATTACATAAAATATAAATTTTCCAGCAGGCCCCTAAAAGTTGACGTGAAATGTGAATTTGCTAGCTAGAAGAATTGGGGGACAAATCCAAATTGTGAGTTTGAGGCGACATCGATAGAATGTAATTCCATTTCTTATACTTTATAGGACACCTGTGTAGACCTGTGGTTGTATATTATTACAGGTTTTGTAGCTTAAATGAAAAATACACACAGATCTTCGTGTAGCATTTTTAGAGTCAAGGATTGTGTCTAGAAATTTCCGTTATAAAAAGAGGTATAGCAGCATTTATAAAAGAGGTAAGGTAGCATTTCTTCTTTTATTTTCTTGGGTAATTCTAATCAGTTGACTGACTGTTTTTTTCCATTGCCACACAATTTATGAAGGCCACATTCAGACTGTAGGGCAATGTTTTTAGCCTACTTAAAACACTGTGAACTTGTTCTGATTTCAGACTTTTAATAAATGCTTTGAAGTTATGATTTTAATACCTTTTGCTGAATGACTGACTTCTTGAATGTGAACTAGATTTGGTTCCACGTTTATCAAGAAAGTGTCCTTTAAAGAAAATTTCTCCCCAACCAGCTATTTCAATCTATTTATTTAAAGACACACTATCCTCTAGTCAGTAAATGTAAAAGAAATGCCTCATCTTCCTGTCATGCTGTTAGTTCTTAGGCTGTTCAAGAAGCAGGTTAAAAATGCCAGAGGGGGGCTGGCCCCATGGCTTAGCGGTTAAGTGCGCGCACTCCGCTACTGGCGGCCCGGGTTGGGATGCCGGCGCGCACCCATGCATTGCTTCTCCGGCCATGCTGAGGCTGCGTCCCACATACAGCAGCTAGAAGGATGTGCAACTATGACATACAGCTAGCTACTGGGGCTTTGGGGAGAAAAAGGGAAAAAAAAGGAGGAGGACTGGCAATAGATGTTAGCTCAGGGCTGGTCTTCCTCAGCAAAAAGAGGAGGATTGGCATGAATGTTAGCTCAGGGCTGATCTTCCTCACAAAAAAAAAGAAAAAAAAAAAACCGAAGGAAGACGAATATGTTTGGCTTCTCCTTTTCATGAAGTAATGATGCTTCGGAAGCATGAAGCTATCTGGAGACTTAGGGGACTAAAATTTATATAACAGTTGTCTGTTACACAAATTTAACAAGTTGGACTCACATCTTTGAGTATCCGTGGTGGCCTTTATCTTAGCATTTGACTATCAGGCCTTCTGGACAATAAGTTCTGAGTGTTGGGTTTGGGGCATAAGCGCTGAGACTTTCTATATTATTCTCAGTTAATTCAGTGATGACAAATACTTTCAGTAACCTTTTGTCTGGACTCTCAGGAGTGAGGACAGTAATTATGGCATGAAGAATAAATGAATAAATTGGTCATTGGATACAGCTCAAGAGTTTGCGAAATGTTCTGATGAGCACAGTGTTTTTTTCCCTCTTGAATTTGTTTTTTATACACATTGGGGTGCTACTTTTGGGGACATGTCACTTAAAAAATTGAAGGTGTAGGGGGCCGGCCCTGTGGCCTAGTGGTTAAGTTCAGTGTGCTGTGCTTCAGCAGCCCTGGTTTGCGGGTTCAGATCCTAGGTGTGGATCTACACCACTCATCAGCCATGCTGTGGCGGCGTCCCACATACAACATAGAGGAAGATTGGCACAGATGTTAGCTCAGGGCGAATCTTCCTCAAGCAAAAAGAGGAAGATTGGCAACAGATTTTAGCTCCGGGCCAATCTTTCTCAAAAAAAAAAAAAAAAAAAAAAAGAAGAAGAAGAAGAAGATGTAGTCCTCAGGGAAGAAAAGGGCAGCTTCCCAGCTACCTGGCCTTAGCATGTGCTCCTGAGACCCACCTCCACACAAAGCAGGGTCATTCTGACCAGATGCTTCCTTCCTGTTGCTTGTTTCAAGGCTCGCTCTCCTAGTATTAAGGTTTCTAGCTGCCATGTGTGAGCTAGTCCTTAAAGTCCCCCTCCTTCTTCTCTAAGCCTTGAGTCCCTCGTTGCCCCAGACTGGGCTTACAGCAGAGGCCAATGACTGCTCGTTATCCAGAGCAGGGAGGGAATCCTGCGCCCTTCCCTGCACTATCCTGTCATCAGTTTTAGCAATCCCAGGAATTGGTAGACTGCTCTCAGGAAAGCTTTTGCATTTCAGAAAACCAAATGGCAAAGCTTCCATTTTCTTTTGAGTTCGTTAAGCTTCCCCTTGTCCTCTCTGTCCCCACCCCAGTGTCATCGAGCTCATGGAATTTTGCTTTGTGATGTTACTTTGTGCTGTGATCCACCCCAGTAACTTATCATTTTTTTGGTTTTTGTTTTTTCCCAGGTGTTCCCAGATATTGCCTGTGGGAACGCCAGTTCCAACAGCTCTGCGGGCGGCCGCCTGGTATCCTTTGAAGTGCCGCAGAACGCCTCAGTCAAGTAAGAAAATTCTCACTTAAAAACTGTTCAGACTGATACTGTGACCATATGCTGGGTCGTGTCTATCCGTGTAACTGGTCTGTAACCGGTCAGGCCAGGGAGAGTCATGAATGGACTCTATGTCAGACAGGACCTATGTCACTCAAAAACCAGAGGGGGCTCTTTCAGAGGTGAATGTTGCAGTGAGGATCCAGTCAGGGGGAGACGTGGAATTGTGGGGTCGGGTTGGATGAGTGAGGTGTGAGGTGGGACACCCTGAGGCCTTAGATAAGATCCAGAGCTAGACGTGGCACCTCCTAAATGACTGTGCTTTCCAGATTCTTCAGCCTCTTGAGATTTTAATGGACCATTGGTTAAATTCTTATGCGTAATTTACCCCAAATTTAAAATCCAAACATTACAATTTTCTCTTTAAAAACAAGCAGCTGAGAAGAGAGTGTTGTGTTTTAAACCTAAGCTCTCTCAAATTACATACTGCCCATTGTCCCCGTGAGGATGGGGACGAGGCAAAGGGAAGCGGCATTGGCTGAGCACCTGCTGGGGACCAGATGCTTCCATTGCTGGGGAGGGGGGTGGGGCCAGCAAGAGAGCATCCCAGACCTTTCGACTCCCACTACCCGTCCTTCTCTCTTGCTATTAACTGCTCCCCCAGTGGCCGCCATGGAACCCAATGGGCATTCACTGTCCAGTCTTCAGGCACTTCAGAAGACCGAGGGACGGGTGGCCCTGGTTATCCAGCGTGCTGCATCAACCCTTTGAAGGGGGCGGTGGGCACTATAGACCTCTTGCATCTATACAGGGTCACTTTTGCTCACCTTGCCTCCTAAACAGTGGAGTCTCTGAAAGTGTTTGGAAGATGGACTTTGTTACTATGCCCTGCCTCCCCTCCCCCCAGCCCTGCACTTATGCTGGTGGAGGAAGAGCCAGCATGGGCAACGAACTTGGACCACTGGGAAGAAGTCCCCATAGGGAGAATGGTGTGGTGTCTGAGGCAGCTTCGAGTTCTACCAGTAGGGGGACCCCCATCCTAAGTGTTCCACTGCTCATAAAAAGATGAAACCGCAGAGCCGGTTTTAGGGAAATAAATGTCATTAGTCTCCTTTACGTTTATGAAACCATCTCCCAGCTCTTTCTTACCTAGGTCATGTTATCCTACTTTCATAAGCCTTTCCAAATAGTTCTCATCCTCTATTCCTTTAAATGCTTTTGTTTTTTCCCTCTCAACAAACCAGAAATTCTCCGAGACCCTCTTAGGGTGCAGAGAGGGACAGAAATAGCAGTCTGACCCAGGCTGAGTAAGATGGGAGTGCCGAATGATCTCCGGGCGCCCTGGATTTACTTGTGAGGGTCACTAGCCCCTTACACTTTCATTTCTTCATGAATTCAATCATTTATCAAACCTTTATTGAGCACTCTGCTGCAAGCCAGCAGCTCTGCACTGGGGGGAGCAACTCTGTGTATAGAGTACACCCGTCTTCTCCCTGAGGCAGAGACCCAGTTCTCCAGGAACTGGTTGGTGGGAAGAGATGGTCAATGAAGGTCTCAGAAAGGAGATGATATGTGGGTTAAGCCTTGAAGAATGACACTTAGGTGGAGGAGGAGGCAAAGGCTGGGAGCTGGGACAGAACCTGCTTGAGGAAGAGACAGTAGCTCCTTGTTGCCAGAGCACTGGGTTGTAAGGATGGACGTGTTGGATCTGAGGCTGAGAGGGGAACTGAGGCCGAGGTTGATTAACTTTCTGTGGCATCTCATTCTTTGGATTTTACTCTGAAAATAAGAAGAAGCCGGGGGGGCCTGAAGCATAGGAGGTAACACACTTTCACTGTGTTGGCAGCACAACTCAGGTGGCTGTTTTAGGATGCATTATAAATTTATAGTAAATTCAGGCAAGACTCTTTATACTGTGAGGAGATGGAAGGAGTTGTCTCTAAAAGAACTCAATATACCCTTTTATTATTGATTAAAATTGTTACCCAAAGGTGAGTTATCTATTAATGATCTTGTGGTATATTTTTGATCAAGTGGGAGACAGACATTTCTAACAAATGTGGAAAACGACCGCCATGAGTGTGCATCAAGTGGGCACTCGTTTGCAAGATCATTTCATCGATTTCCCAGTACCTTTGTGGATGTACACGTTATCTTTATTTTTAATTTGATCAACTGGTTCTAAGATGAATTTTTCTGAAAGGGACTTTCCATTGACATCGTTCCTGTTTTCAGAATTCGGCAGGATGCCGCTGCTTCTCTGATTTTGCTGTGGAAGGTCACGGCCACGGGATTTCAACAGTGCTCCCTCATAGATGGACGGAGTGTGACCCTCCTCCAGGCTCCTGGGGGCCTGGTCCTCTTGGAAGAGATGCTTGCCTTGGGGAGCAATCACTTCATCGGTGAGTTATGGGAATCTCCTACCTAACACCACATCTGACTCAACCCAACCTTGGTTAGGTGGTTAGACATGGTGGAAAGGGAATTTTGCCCAGATAATCTGAATTCTAGCCATCCACACATTCCCTCCATTTTAGGTGAGGTTTTGCTTATAATCAAAATTGATTTCTAAGATAATATTTCCAGTGTGGCTCAAAGTGGACAAATTGTGGGCTCTGGGATCCTGAGACTGTATCTTAGCTCTGGAGAAAGTGTCATAGTTATATGTATGACCTTTGGCACTTAATGTTCTGAATCTCGGTTTTCTTTCCGACTCTTTAGTCTGCTTTCTCCAGGAATTGTGGGCAACTTGAGGCATTGAATGTTGGTCTCTCAGACAAACCCTGTTCCCCCTTGATTTAGGCCTGCCCCAGGACCCCTGAGCACAGCACCTCAGCCAGCAATTTACCACTTCTGAGCCTCTGACTCAGAAGGGATCATAACTCTCTTTGGGGTCTCTCTTCCCCACACTCACCCCTTCTCCTGACTTTTCACTGTTTCTCAAACGTGGTTAACTCTGTGATTTAACCTTCTCTAAACTGCCACATGTCCAGTTAGCTGCTTTCAAATTCCTCTGCCCTGGAGTAGAAATGGCCTTGAGAAAGCAGGACCCCTCACCCCCTGCCTCCTGTTCCTCCCAAGGCTCCCCTTGGGCAGTTTCCAGAGGACCACCTTTCTCCTGGGTCAGCATTCTGACTGTATCCTGCCAGTTGTCTCACCCAGCAGAGAGTACCTCTGGGGTTGGAACTTGTAACTCTGGCCCCCTAGCGTGCCAATATCGTCAGCTATTTGATTAGAGCTTGTTGCATTGTGTAGCCTCTACTCAAAAACACAGGCTCGAGTTTAGACTCTGCCCATCCCAGTCCGATGCACCCAAGTGGCCCCTGCATCCTCCTGTTAATACCTTCTCCTGTCCAGTCATATATTCCAACAATCCTCACCTGGAGGATGGGGGTGGGTGGGAGAGAGGCACCTGTCTCTCAAGGGTGTTGGGAGGGTTAAGTGAGATAATGGATGTGAAAATATAAATTACGAATGTTAAGGATGATTCTAGGGTACTTTATTTTTTTCTGAGATAACACTAAATATTTTGCTACATTAAATGGAAAATATATATTGACTTATTCTCCAAGATAAGTGTTTGATGCAAATATCATAATGAAGATAAACTCATAAAATGAAATGCTCAGCTTTATATAATTTGTATTGCGTTTTATATTTGACTGACCCTCTCTGATAAGAAAGTCATTTCCCAGTCTTTGGATATTCAACTGAGAGGAGCAGGGATTTTATTGGGTGGTGAGAAGGTAAGGAGAAATCAGCTGGAAATCAGCTAGGAATGGACATGCGGGAAGAGGAGGGGAGGGTGTTTAAACTTCAGGCTGGAGTTTTGTTTTTTTTTTTTGTGGTGAGGAAGATTAGCCCTGAGCTAACATCTGTTGCCAATCCTCCTCTTTTTGCTGAGGAAGATTGGCCCTGGGCTAACATCTGTGTCCATCTTCCTCT